CACCTGTTGGAGGACTGAGGACTGTTAGGGTTAAGGAATTAGTTGTACTCTTGGTCACAACAAAGGCACTGTAGTTTTCATGTATGTGTACTCTTTTAGTAATAGGAAAACCTTCGGTTTAGCAAGAGAATTGTTGATTGCAACTTGTATTTCTGTATGTAATGACTAACCCCTCTTCCTTGCATTCAGACCTTGTTCAGAGTGGCAAAAAGTGGTAGCCTAGCCTGTGTGACATTGGTTAACTAATGTGTGGGAGGTATTGTGTTTTGTGTCATTGGTGGTGAAATGCTTGATCATAAGGAAAGTGCAGGGATGAGATTTCTCAGCTTTTTAGCTGATATCAGCTTTTTTTGTTCCGGATTTCAGCTTTTTTCCGTCACCGGCTGTGTACAGAAGTATAGGAGGTTTTCACAGTAGCGCTTCTTTATGCCTTTTTTTGGCTGTTTTCAGCTATTTTTATCATTGGTCAATCTCATCCCTGTTTTGGTGTCTTAGTGTATGATAGAATGCCAACTCCCAGCAACTGTCATAAGTTATGGTTTTCAGTGGTAGTTGAAGCATTGTTTGTGAACCTGTGTTTTTGTGTTCATGTGTACATTGGATGTTGCAGATATAGGTCCTATATGATACCTTGCAGATATAGGTCCTATATGAAACCTTGCAGATATAGGTCCTATATGATACCTGTATTGAGAGTCTGGTCCAGGCTTTCATAAGTTGCATACATAGATGTGGGCTCTGGCTGACAACAGACAGGGCCACAGCCTCCGAAAGACTGTTTTGAACACGGCCATAGATTGTTGTTTGTCTGGGAGATTGGGGTGCCGTGGGCTCCATGCAGCGTGGATGGAGACAGACAGTAGGCCAGCCTTTGAATGGCACTGGTGTCCTGCATGTGGCACCCGTGAACCGACAGGCTCAACACTTTACTCATAAATATGACAATGAGTTTTGCTCTGACACTCTATGGCTCAAGTGCAAACCAGTGTGTGCTTTTTTTAGCATGAAGAGCGACATGTACTTGCACCGAGTCCTCGGTCTCCTCGCTCCCAGAAACACTATCTTGCCTCCATCGCACCCCCCCCAAAAAAGAATTTGTTTTTGCAAATTTTTCTGAGTACCTGTTGAAATTTGTTTCCAACCCTCTGTGGAAATTTGCAAGAGTTTGATATTGCGGGCGGTGGGATATTGCTAGCATCTGATGTTCTGTTCAGACTTGCAGCTGTACTTTTGGTAACACGCCTATGTTGCTTTTTTTTTTCAATAATGAAGTGCAGCCCAAATTTTCTTCAAGCTTAACAGCTTCTAAGGTTTTGCTTCTAAGGTTTTGTCAAGAGTTTATCATGGTTGGATTGTTTTCCTTGGAACTTCTGAATATGATCCAGTCGTCTGAGCATGAGATGTGTTTTTTATTGTCATAGATGGATATAATGTTTGCTTCATGTCATGTTGTAAACAGACCTTTTACACATCTATTTTCAAGGGCCTTTTCTTTCCAAGGCTTTGCAGTTTTGAATCTTTAAAAATTCCTGTGCATTTTAGGAATGTACATTGGACATTGCCCATATAAGATATCTCCATGTGCTCTGGGATTGGAGCTGTAAAATTGGCTTTTGCATTTTGCAAAATTATACTTTCTCAGAAATGATTGCATTTTGGAGAATCGGTATATTGCATTCTTGATCAGTTATATTTACCGTAATCCTGAAAAGGTATTGAAACTTCCCCTTAAATTATCTGAAAAAACTTTCTAAAGATTTTCTGAGCCATTGTGAAACTGAAACTTGTTAAAAATACATTTTTTTCTGCCATAAAAAGGCCCCCAATGCTTTTTAAAAGATACCCTATTTTGATTTAGGATGAAATTGCTGCTAGCCTTCAATCCTGTTGGACATCCTTTGCACCGATTATCAGTCCAAAAAAATCTGTACCAGATCAAAGAGTCATCCATCTTCACCCTGTTGATATGAAATGAATCCTGTTGTGTTTGACTGGAGGATTTCTTTCGTCCTTTCTGAAGGGTTGTCGTGAAGCGGTCTAGTGATCCCATCGCAGCTATGCATAGACTTGGGAGTAAAATCAAAGGAGTGTTCCGCAGCTCAAATGGTAAGCCCTTCTACTTTAAACAAAGATACATGGATGGTACTTTATACAGGGTTCCTGTGGCCTGGAAAAGTCATGGAAATTTGTTTTTCCTTTTTCAGGCCTAGAAAAGTCATGGAATTTTGTACAAATGACTGAAGTCATTTAAAAGTCATTGAATTTTGTCATGGAAGTCATAAAACACTGTGGGATTTCTATTATCAGAAATAAGCGCATAAAATCTGTGATTGTATTTGCAACCTAAAAGGTCGAATAGTCCAAGAAATTGCGATATTTGGTTAAGGATTTTCATAATTTGGTCATGGAAAAGTCATGGAATTTAATTGTCCTTTATGTGCAGGAACCCTGTTTATAAAATCCGGCAATATGAAATCTCTCCTGTTAGATTTGAGCTTGTCCCTCCATACTTGTGGGCCTTCTTGTTTTCCTTAAAGCTCCTTCCTGTTGCTCAAACATTAACCCTAACAGTCCTCAACCCTCCAACAGGTGAAGGATTGAGGACTGTTAGGGTTAAGCTTTTCCGGCATAAGTCAAAACAAATTCTTTTGCTGTTTTCTTCATTAACTGTAACTCCATTGAATTACTTTGGATCTAGCCGATAGTGATACCGCAAGCATGTCATCGTTGGATATTGCCGAGTCTGAATCCAGCCAGCCAACAGTAAGTTTGTCAGAAATGCCCAACCTGGAATCAAGACCCATTTGGAGATGTGTAGACTTTTTTATTCTTGGTGCATCTGTAAAAAGGCCCCTTTCATTTGATACCCCACTAGCATGTGACAGTGTCTTATTTGTATAAAAGTACTTCAGATAACCTCTCATCTCAAAAGAGAGATTGAGGATGAAAGATGTAACAGCAACAGCATTTGACACTAGCTGAGGTGACATTGACCAGTCGCCAGTGAGGATGGATTATTTCTCAGAAAGTTGGTTGTCTCCCGTAACCACCGTGACAGGTCTCCAGTTGAGTTCTCACTGGAGGCTATGTCAACACAAAGGCAATCTGTTCTCGTTGGGGCCGTTGAAGGGTTGAACCATCGACTGTTCCCCGAGCCTCGGTATGGTGGACATATGAATACATGTCTTATCCCCCCATTTGTTCTGTAAGCACACACAATGTCCAGCAAGTCTGTGGAGGTGGACCATGTGGTTAACTTGAACGTGGCCTGTATTGTGGCAAATATCACTCTGTAATAGTGCCCTGGAGTGTTGCAAAACATGAGGTTGCGGTTATAGATACTCTACAAGTATTGTACAAATGACTTTCAAGAGTTGTTTTAATTCAGCCAAAATATCTTGTCCATTTCAAAAGTCAGATGTTTATCATTTGATGCCAAAACTGGGCTTACCTTTTCAAAAATGAAATGAATGAAAAACTAATTTTTTTTTGACTTTTCAACTTTTTCACCAACCTTGTGAAACAGTCAGATGCAGAACTTGCATCTGATGAAGAGGAGGCCGGGATGAAGTCACCAATCCATGACATGAGTGCATGGAGGGTCAGCATACCCAGGGTGGAGGCCAGACTAGAGGGCACCAAGGATTACTTTGTGTACATCATCGCCGTGCAGCGGATCGATGTCAAGGAAGGAGGCGGGGAAGAGACATCCTGGGAGGTGGAAAGGTCAGGAAATAAGTTCAAGAAGTGTTGGGGGCACCATGTGTCCTTATTGGAGAACTCGGAGTGGGAATTGAAGTAGCAATTGTTTACCCGTGCAAACAAATCAATGTACGGTATTTCGGTATGAAACAGTGTTATACATGATAGACTTTAACTTCCGTTGTGCACTGTTTGGTGGCACGGTTTTCTTGCAAGAAATTGAGGGATTTTAAACTGGTGTTAGCTGGTAGACATCAAATAAATGCTTAAGTCACAATACATGCAACTGATTGGCCAAAAGAATACACACTAAGCATGAACTGCCAGCGCAGTGTGAAGGTGGTCTTGCTTTTAAAATGTGAACCAATTATTTAAACAACGGTACAGAAATGGCTGTCACTAAATAAAGAGCAACATTTTTCACCTCTGGTCGAGAATACTGCCATTTTGTAACCGATATGGTCTTCATCTGAAAATAAGGTTGTATGGAATTTTTAAGTGTTACGTTGAAACTTGAATTTGTCTGAACCGTTGTCTTAATAGGGATGCATACCTCGGGCTGCATACCTCGGGCTGCATACCTCGGGCTGCATTTGCAGATCTCTTGGATTCTTTTCTTTTGCAGACGATACCATGAGTTTCATGTCTTGGAGACCAAACTGAGAGAATTCCATGGTAACAGATGTTCACATTTGAGTTGTTGACTACACTTGTCTCTCTGGTGTTTAAATGTGATATTTGCCCGTAACAAAAATGATGGCAATTCTGGTTTGTAACACTGAAATCCTTGCTTATGAACATATTCAGGACATCTTCACTTCCTTGACACCAACTGTAGCAAAGTTCACAGAGCTTCTAATGAAACCAGGCTTACCATGAGTAGTGAATTCATCTCAGAGAGTTAGCCACCAGAAATAAATGCACTCCATGTTTATTGACCTTGGTCAGCTTCAGAAAAATTGTCTGTGTTTAAATTAATTGTTTGCTGAGCTTACCTGTGAAATTGACCCCTGTTATATGCATTTGAACCCTAACCCTGCCAGACGCCGTGCATCAGATGGAAAAAGTCTGATGCACTTTGAGAAAGCAGACAATCAACAGCAGCCACAAGAATGTTGAGACAATGGGAGCTAGTCCCATTGAACAATACCACTCTTGGACCTTGCGGTGACTGGCAACCACAGATAGACTCCCAGGCTGTGTGGGCCGTGGGGAAAGTTGACCTGTTGGATCTTGTTACATTGGGCTGGCAAGCCACTTTGACAAATGATGCAATATGATGCATCTGGCAGGATTTCTAGCCAAAGTAGGCTGGAGGTTAGGGTTAAATGTCTATTTCTTCCACTGGTGTGGTAATGAATCTTGTGGATTGACAAATCCAGGTATATTTGACGATGCTCAGCTGCCCCAGAAAAGGCCCCTCCCCTTTGCCTCAAGATCCCTGGACTTCATGGAGAAGAGAAAAGACAGCTGTGAAAAATTCCTCCAGGTGAGAACCCAGCTCCTCCCCCCCCCAAAATGTCCTCATGTATCCTACCCATCCCAATTAATCTCGTTGTGGCGTTACCTTGAGGCTGTGTCCAAATCTAGTGTCTACAGCTGGGCCTAAGTCTTCTGAATAGACTTGAATTCAGACTGGAGGTTTTGTGGTAGTTCTTGTGATTGTCTGAAGATGTCTCGACTACAGTGGTGATGTTTATCATCCTATTGGTTCTTCTTGCAGTGAATAAAAAAAAATCCGGAGGAAGCAGGCTTCATAATGAGTAGGTTTGCTTGTGGAGTGGGCAACTTAATAAGTTAGTTACGCTAGCCAGCAGAAATTTTCTACTCTATTTTGTATGCCGAGATGGAATCTCAAGATGGAATGTCAGGTTATGGAGCATTCTACGTCTTTCCTTTTATTACGGTCTTAATCTTTTTGTTCTCACTGTAGACGCTCTTAACGAAACCCAACCTGCGAGGCAGTCAACTCCTCTACAGCTTCCTGACAAAGAGTGAGGAGTTTGTCAATAAGTTCTTGGGAGACGTCAACATAGGTATGGCCGGAACCAGGAGTAGGAACTATACCATGCTGAACAGAGTTTAGTAAATTTGTCAGTTGCATCACAAATTGACATATCTTGAGTAGTTGCTACACCTCAACTGACGAATCGTGAGTAGTTACTACACCTCAACTTACATATCGTTAGTAGTTATTACACCTCAACTGATGTATCGTGAGTAGTCGCTACACCTCAACTGACGAATTGTGAGTAGTTACTGCACCTCAACTGACGTATCTTGTGTGCGCAGTCTGTGGAAGATACGTCACTCTGTGGTACATCGAAAAATATGTCGCTTTGTGCCGCAACCGACAAATTGAGAGATTTTTAGGCCTCACATCTTGATTTTAATTCTTCAAATCGATTCCCTTTTTTGCACTGTAATATGTAAGCATTGGCCTACTGAAACTCCTAAGCACTGTATTTTGACTGCTGGAGTCTATCTCTCAAGCCTTGATCTTGACAAGTTTTCGTATTTGAGTCATTTGGTGCATCCTGTCAGCCGCATCCTAAACATTCCATTTGTTATTTTGTAATTCTGCTAAGGTCAACATGCCCAGCCTGATCCTTATTTTTTTGTTGCTTGTATTTTAGCTTGGTGAGCAGTTTGTGGAAGCCATTTATTTCCTGAATTGACTGTTGATTATTGTAAACATTTAGGAAATACCCTAATTGAAACTGTACTGAAAACCTTATTGATTTGATTGATGATTAATTGTAAATTTGGTGTGCTTGCAGGGAAATTGGTGAGGACAATGTCTTACAGAGTTATCAAGGAGGTAGGATCATTTCTGACTGTTTGTTTCATCGGTAAATAACAAATTTTAACCATTGAAGATTTAAATGGGAAATGGTTTCAGAGGGCTTTAAAGTGTTTGAAATTCTTCAAGAATGCATTTTTGTCCCTTCCGCACTGGAATTTATTTTTTTTGTTTGCGTTCTTATTTTTGTTTCTCTTTGTAGCGAGGCCAACATTTAGATCCTTTCCTGCAGTCATTCATTGCATCTGTCGAGGCTCCCAAACCCAAAGCAGGGTAGGTGGTGCAAATGGTAGAGGGGTCAAAGTTCACATACCACAGGTGAAAAAAATGTCCCCCTTCCGTGGCAAACATCTACAGGAGGCGTAAGCAAAATCAAAGTGCTGCATATTTTATGAAGATCTTCTTGAGAATTTGGCACAGCATGAAGAGAGGATGGGAATCAGCTGAGTGTGATTTCAGCTGAATTAGGCTTTTCCCTGAGTCCATGGGCACCGTGTATGTCCAGCCTATTCCGTTGAGCGGCCAAGCATAGGCATTTGTAAAGTGCAGAATCAGTAGGCCTCTGCACTGATGACACCGCAGGTGCTGTGCATGATACATGACTGGGGACCCCCAATGGCTCTATAAGAAAGTGCACAAGGGAACTATGACGTCATCAGTACATGTAAGAACACCTGTTGGTTTCACTAAACGTGGACAACTTGCCAGAATGGCAGCTAATTTTGTTACGACCAGTTGTCACCTAATTTTTGTATTATCTGATACATTTGCTCAGCATTGTTTTCTGAAAGTAAACAATTACTTTTTGGGAACTCCGTTTGAGCTTGTAATCAGCACTGCTTCACTGTAATTAAGGCTCAGTGGATGTTCGTTGATGTTGATTTCAGTCATTTCACATCAGCAGCGTTGTTATATTCAGTTGTGCACACTTTGGCATTTCAGGATGAATTTCTTATTACTGATCTACTTAAAGATATGATTCTTTGGCATTGCTTCACAGAAAACTTGAAGAACCAGTTGACCCAGCAAAACACCTTGCAGAAAAGGTTTGATTGCCTACAGAATCTTCATATTCAAGCAACATTTTTACATTGCTCATACTTTTTCATTGGGTAAAGAACAAGGAAATGAGTCGTCAAGTTTTCTCTGAGCTATTAATACCATCTTCAGTGAAATTTGTTTTTTTGGCATAAGGGCCTCTGTTTTGAAAAGTGAGTGCTGAAACTACTTGAGTGAAGGCCTGCCCAGTTTTATATTCTCTGAAGTTATTCTTTCAAGAAGGGTCACATCCATGTTAGATCTGGGACATGACATTCATAGTTCTGACCCAATGTTTGGTAGATGGCACGTTGTCAGAGATTCTGGCCAAAAGTCTGTTTTTAGAAAAGATTTGCCTTAACAATATATTAGCTTTCACAAAGTCATTTTGGTATCAGTTTTGCCAAGACTAAACCTGTCTTCAACATGAGTCTGTGTACACCTGAAAACATTTGGAGAAACATGTTTGCATAATGCTCTCAAAAACTGTTATATTCTTGGTTTTGCTTTCTCTTGTCGCAGTTGGACAGTCCCGTATTTGGTGATAATGCCGGCCTGCCATTGGTACGAGAAACACTCAAAGAACCCAACCCAGATCCTTCGGCTAACTACTTACAACTCAATGGCATCTTTGACTATATTCTCTATCTTGGTAAGTCATCTCTTGCGCAAATTAGATTTGTAATGAAAATATTAAGCTCCCTATTCTTGGTCTGTTGCTTTGAGAGATCTACGAAGCATCGTAACCGTGCTTTTACAAAACAACAATGATCCTGTGGTGGGAGCTCTCTGTGTTTGGCACAAGATGAGTCTCGTGTGCAAAAATGCTCCTGCCAGGATAAACATAATTGAAATGATGAAGTGATGTTCACCAACATGTCTCATCTTTGCCTGTTAAGGGGATGCTTTGAGTACGGCAGATATTTGAAAAAAGTAGATCTGACGCTTCAGGTTGTCTTTTGAACTTTTGAACTCTTAAATCAGGAATTTTGGACTTGCCTCTTGAATCAGGAAACAGTTTGTGAAGATGAAAATTTTGCTGTGCACAAAAATGTTACGCTCAACAAAAAGTTCAGCAGCAACACTGTGGTGCATGTGATGCATGCGACTGGTTCCCAAATCATTGTTTGGCTAGCACCATGAAATATCAGTCTTGGAGTCACAACATTTTTTACTGATCACCCCGTACCAGTTTTGATTCAGGGGCAGTACTTGATAAAATTGAGCAACATGGTTGGCGTCATTTGAAAGGAAACCACAGAGGAGGACAGAAAATATGTGTACTCCAAACAGCTCCGTGAAACTGACCCTATAGATGTCAGTAAGGTTTGATTTGAGTCGTTAACATTTCTTACTTCCTCAGCCACTGCTGTATTTGATGTTGCTCCTTGGATGCACCAGGGCCTAATTGTCTTCCAGAAACTCTTCAAGAACTCACTGGAGACATTCCTTGACAGGTATCCCAATTTAATGTGTCCACCTTTCCTGTAAATTTAAATTCTAGAATTCACTGAATTCTAAGGTAAAAACCAAATGATAATTTGAAAGAATGACATTGAAACAAGGTAGCAGGATTGAAAGGAAAAAATAAAGATTATTGTGGAAGGGTTATGATGGATCAAGGTTCCTCTAGAGGTAGGTAAGGTCAATGATGAAGGCAAGTTACGCCAGATTCAAAATAGTGCACTTAGGAAAAATGCCGTTGACGGTCTTTGCTGCACTCCCAGGGGATAGGTACGATGTTTGACTATGAAAGGATGAAGGAATCTCTCCCTTAATCAAGCTTATGTGGCTCAGCAGCAGCAGTAGCGAGAATATTTATTGTGAAAATATCTGAAAGCAGGAGCAGGACAGTACTGGGCAAGCTGC